GTTTCTTCCTTGCAAAGTTTGTATGTAGCTTTAAACACGCACACATATTCTTGCGCACTGCATCATTTCCTACAAATTCCTTATGGGGCTTGCTTTAAGGGAAGCAGTGAGATAGCAGTAGTAACTGTGAGAATAATCACTATACTTTGACCCCTAAACTGTGTATATACATGTAGACACATGATTTGGTATGTTGATTGTGGGCTTCTGAGCTTTGTTTGAAGAATCAAAAAAGAAGTGACTTCAAAGTGTTTTTCTAATAAGTGGGAAAGGTGAAGCCTAGTCTAAAGCAGCTTGATTTTAGGAATTCAACTTGACAAGTAAATACTGTGCTGCTGTTGGTACATGGAACTGAGCTGAACCTTATGGAGATATAAAAATGATATAAGGTAGGATCTTTTTTAGTGATAACAGCCTCACATTTGTAAGCAAAACCTTTCTTTTACACTTCACATTACAGATTCTCTTAGCAACACAAAAGTGGGATTTTTTACTGATTTGTCACTTGCGATTGAATTTTACACCAGTCTTTGTGTCTTCTGTGGACACGAAGAACATTCATCAGTCCTTGTTCCTTTTTATGTTAACATGCTTAATAAATCTGCTCCTCCTATTTTATTCATCGACATATTTAAGATTTAGTTTCAGCCCTTCTTGCCCATAGCTGTGCCTGAAACAGCTTTCTTGGCACATTTCTAATCCAAATCAAAATCAACACCAGAAACAAATTCAACCTAACAGACAGCAGAATTGTTTCATGTTTTAAAAATATCTGTTCGGTTGCTCTTTTAACAGATATGAGACAATATGGCACCTTCAAAATAAAACAGATCACAGGATATCAGGGAGAGAGAAACTCTTACCTGTAGGATTACTGTAAAGGCTTATCACATAGGGCCAAAAAGTCAGTCTGAAATGAGATTCCCTGGAGAATTGCATCAACAGGCTAAAATCACAAGTCCAATCAGCTCAAATAATGAAATGGAAAATGTTAAGAAGTATTCCTAGGAAGTAGCTTGGGATGAGAAGAGGTCCTAGCTCTTCTCAAAGGAAATCTCTAGACTAGACAAGTACAGTACACACTCTTCTCACCAAGTTGGTGCCATCCAAAAAACCATCTGCTACTGATTCCGAAAGAGAGGCTGAAAATCTGATTTGCTCATCAGGACAGCTTTGATCTGGCCCAGGGCCTGGTGTCCTCTTCAATTTACTTCCTTCTTATGGACACAAATGATATTTTCTTGAGCAATCTGAGTTCTTTGGAGAACAATTCTGTTTCTGATTTGGATAGTGAATTGAGACCAAATTCTTTAAAATTCCTAAAGCTAAAGTGCTTTATTGTTCTCCCTATAGACTCTCTAGACTCTTGCCCTGCCCCACATTGAATATAACTCTCCTTTAAATTACACTGTCGAATCTTACATGCATGTGTTGTGATTAATAGTGTTACCCCATGTGGTTCCAGTTTTCAGAACATCATTTTTCTTCAGGACTGCATGCTCCTTGGTGGTCTTTGGTTTTTCTTTCTAAAAACTGAAATAAAAATTATCTGATACTCACATACCTTTTCTTAATTATTAAAATGTTGCCTTAGATCTTCCTGGTAATTGACACCTAAATATCTCCACCACTGATTGTAACTTCCTCCTAAAATGACCCAGCTGGAATTTTCACATAAAGCAGATGAGAAGGGAGTGAGGGTGTTTTTCTTGTTGTTTTTTTTATTTTTGTCTCCCCATTCCATTTAACCCTTTCCTCACCTTCCTGCTCCACATCCTTCCCATCCCTACTCACTAGTCTCAAGTTTCATTTAGTTAAAGTGCTTAAAAAATTACAACCCAGTAGTGACTTGGAATTCCACAAACTTGCCTACATTAATAACACTGAACACTTTGATGTTCATTTATTAATTAAGCCTGTGTTATATGTGTTTGTACCTACTGACTGCATATGGAGGAGGCATATTCTTGTTGCAGACCCTAAATCATAAAATTTTGTTTGTTCGCGCTTGGCTGGAGGTGATTATTTATTATATTCAAAAATTCTGTCCACACTTGGAGTGTTTATTCTGGATTTGTTTCTGTGCATTGCAAGGTTGTAGTGCAGCTGAAGAATAAGCAAGGAGAGCCAAGTAGGGAAACGTCATGAAAAATCTTGAATCCAGGCACAAGTTGTTGAAAAAAAATAAAACTTGGACAAAGGAATGTGACCATGGGGTGAGGTAAAATGAGAAGAATCCAGGCAAGGCCATCTCTCAACCACTGGAGACCTGAAAACAAGCTGCTTCTGGAGCATACATGCATTGACTTAGATGCCAGTGCTTCAGAAAATAAGGGTGCAAATGCACCCATAATTCTCAGTGAGATGGAAATATCTTTCTAATGACCCAGCAGTCTCACTTCTGGCTGTATATTCAAAGAACTGAAAAGAGGATCTCAAAAAGATTTTTGTGCACCTGTATGCATTTGCAGCACTACTCCCAACAGCCAAGGTGTGGGAGCAACCCAATATCCAGTGGCCGATGAATGGGTGCCGAAAATGTGGCCCAATTTGCTCCGCTTCAGAAGTGAAGGAAATCTTGGCATATGCTACAATATGGATGAACCTTGAGGGTGGTACGCTAAGTGAAATGCTTCCATCATAAAATAAAAATGCCATACGATTCCACTTAGATGCAGCACCTAGAGTAATCAAACTCATGGTAACAAAGTAGAATGGTGGTTGCTAGGGGTTGAGGAGAAGGGCAATGAGCATTTGTTTAAAGATAAGAATGGTCTACAGATACTGTACCGTGATATATTTGAGGACTTTTTTAAAAAAAAAAAAGGTCCTCAAATTAAGAAGTTTTTTGGTTTTTTGGTTTTATGACACTTAAAATGATACAACTGTGTAATGACTTTATGATAGAGTCATAATCCGAGTATGCCAGTTGGCCCCCAAAGCCATGACTTGGCAAGGTTTTTATTCTAGTCTGGGAATGTTCTGTGCACCTCAGAGGTGAGGTTGGCCCACTCTGGTCCCCTTATCTGTAGAGGAGAGGCAGCCTAGATCTCAAAACAGTAGCACTGTCACTGTGCACATAAAAATTCCTAGGAAGGAGCTGGGGATTTAGCTCAGTGGTTCTGCCACCTGCCTCACCAGCGCAAGGTCCCGAATTCAATCCCCGGTACAAAAAAAAAAAAAATCCGAGGAGGGTAAAATTATATTATGTGCTTTTTTTACACAATAAGAAAGTATTTTTAGAGTCAAAAATGGGAAGTCCACCGAGATTCTTAATATACAAGAATGGTCTGTCGATGTACATGCTGTATCTATGTGACAGTTCTATATAGTTTTGTTCATTCTGCAACTTCTTTTGTGTGAGCATTCGTATTTATCTGTTACAAATAATCTGATGATGATAGAGGTGTCCAAAAAACAGAAAAGATAGTATGAACAGCTGTTGTCATGTGAAACTAAATGAGTCAAGACACTGATCTAGATCCTTAACAGGTAGTCCGAGAGTCCCCGTGCACACTCTGCTGGGACATAGGAGAAACTTCGGAGGCAGGGTCCGTCTCTGGGATGCTTGTAGCTCTTCTCAGTCCGGAGTGGACTCATCTTCACGCCCTCTTCAGGGAAACACCTTTGAAAAACAGGGCTTTATTTTACTCCTTCTCTACCCCCCTTCATCTTTCTGCTGTCAGTTCTCTTGTCTGTAATATGTGGCAATAGACTTTATACTTTTTTTTCTTTATGCCAAAGAAAGATTGATTTTGATGACTTCTAATAACAACAACAAGTCTACTAACTCATCTCCTAAGCCATGTGCACTCACTACAAACGTGATATTAGTCCCAAGGGAGCAAAGATGGATTCTTGTCCAGGAGAGAGAATTCAAGAAAATATTAGAGATATTACATTTGTTTCCAGCATATCTTATTCCATAATATTTAATTTATCTTACTAAAGAGAGTTTAAACTTAATTTTCTTTCTTAGTGAGACAATAATAAAACAAAGATTTAGAACCCTGGCCCTTGCTAGATGGTAATATTATTCAGTTACAGCTGAAGTGAATTGAATTCAAGCCAAGAAAATAAAAATAATCTAGTACTCCCATTTTGATTAAAAAATAGAAATGGAGAAATAGCTCCTCTCCTTCTACAATGTACAAGCAGATGATTTGTGCTGCTATTGCTTATGAAGAAAACTGGAGTCAGCCTTGTGTTCTGTAACCATGTAAAATCTTTGAGGAAGTCTTCATTCATCCATGCAACATTTCTGTAAAGTCTAGAAAAGTCTACTATGGCCCAGCTTATTTTTGACCCGAAACTGCAGCTCTCCCAAGATTAACAGTTTGAGGGGGATAGGTAGGGACTACATGCTTTTTTTGGCAGGGGCCAGTGAGGTATTGAGGATTGAATCCAGGGCTTTCATACTGAGCTATATCCTCAATCCTTTTCATTTTTATTTAGAGTCGAAGTCTTGCTAAGTCACTAAGTTGCCCAGATGGAGCTTCAAGCTGATCTTTCTGCCTCAGCCTGCCAGGGTGCTGGGAGTACAGGCATATGCCATTGTACTCAGTTGGGACTTAGTCCTTTATTCCTTGCACTGCCATTGCCAAGCTTTGTGTCTGGCTACTGATTCGACATGTTTAGTTGTTTAACCACATGGGGGCAATGAAAGAACTTTAGTTTTAACTGATCCTGGCAGTAGTGTGAAGCAATGAGATTTCTACAGTGCAAAATTTAAGGAGGTGCTTACACCACCTTTCCCTTTTGAGCCAGAAGTACACCCTAGTCCTGATTCTGGTTTTCGTAGAAATGGAGTACAGTTCTCAAAGCTTTCACTTACCAAAGCCGATTTACACAGGCACTAGTCTGATAGTGATAGGGTCCCAGGAATAAGAAACAAAGATCTTAAAATGTTCCAACACCCCCCCGTTCCACTTTTGTAAGTATTAATGTGCTTATGACTCATAGTGATCTCAGAGACTAAGTTTCTTACTTCTCTTTTTCAGATCACTACAGATCTAAGGCAGCGATGCACAGACAACCACACGGGAACGTCTGCCTCAGCCCCCATGGCTGCGGGCATCATTGCACTGGCCCTGGAAGCCAAGTAAGCCTTGATCTCTCTGTCTTCACTGGTGACAACCCCAGTCTCCAGGAAGTTACCTCTTCCCATATACAGAGTCCCCAGCATAACAACCCTGAAAGTCTTCTCAGACCCACTTTTAAATTGTCAGTAATATAAGCTTTTTCTTAAAAAAGTCCTCAGATTAAGACGTTTTTTGATTTTTTGATACTTAAAATAATCCAACTGTGTATGACTTTATGATAGAGTCATAGTCCAGTGTGAGTATGCCAGTTGGCCCCCAAAGCCATGACTTGGGGAGGTTTTTATTCTAGTCTGGGAATGTTCCTGTGCGTCTCAGAGATGAGGTTGGCCCATTCTGGTCCCTTTATCTGTAGAGGAGAGGCAGCCTAGATCTCAAAACAGTAGCACTGTCACAGACTGACTCTGAAGGACTAAGTATGTCAAGGGCACATGACAGGAGCCCAGGAACAGGGGCAGTCCACTTAGCTCAAATGCTGTTCAGTATCATCAAATTCTGTATCCAAAAGATCACTTTGAAAAGTACTTTAAGCTATTTGCGATAGGCTCATCTCCCTTCTCTAAACACGGATAAGTTAATTTGCTATAATGTTTTGAAAACCTAATACAGATCTAAAATCTCTTATCCTCAATTTCAAAATCCAAAATGCCTAAGAAACTGAAGGTTCTTTAGCAAATTTAACACCAGATTCATTTGATGGCAGAGCTTACCCTGAACTGATTTGACACTATTTATGGTCTTTACTTACTCCATTTATTGTGAAAATTTCTATATTGACTACAGAAATATTTATGTATTTGATTATGAGCTGCTGGCTTAGACTCCACTAGAGGTTTTGTGTAATACATGTTATGAATGCCATCTCTGAAAAACTTTTGAGTTTCAAACACATCTGGTCCAAGGATTTTTTTTTTTTAAAGCAATCAAGGGTGTGCTGCCTGAGGGTCTCCCCACAGGAGGATCCTAAAGGGGGCGGAAGGCTGGAGTAATGACATCACCATATTTCAAAAATAGCTTTGCCTGCCTCCTCTTGGGAGGAGTAGAAACTAGTTCATGCAGTCATACTCTGAAGTAGAGCAAGAGTGGGTGACAAGAAAGGAACACAGGATGAGGAAGGAGGCTCATGGCTTGGACTAATGGTGCACAAATGGCTTCCTGACATCCAGTGGCTGCCCAGCGGAAAGATAAGGAGCCTATGTTAAAATAGCCAGTCCTTTTACATACTGTAGATGCAGTAAATTGCAGTCATTCAAAGCCATGGACTGAAGCAGGAAGCAGAACACGGCCTCTGAATGTGGTACCGTGTTTTTAGGTGGCCTCTTGCCTAATCCTCATCAGTGGGAGGCAGGCAGACCCCCAGGAATGCTTGGATTCCTTTCTTTTTGACAAAGTCAAATATGAAGTCATTTAAAACATATTATTTCTTTTAAGGTGTTAAAAGTTTGAGTTTGGCAAGGATCTGGCAATTATCCTATGCAATTCTCACTTGACAACTTTTTGCTAGTGTTCTGGCAGCATAAGTCTCCGTTGAGTTGTCTGTGTTTTTAATTTGGTGCACTCTAAATAGGATTTTTAAAGAATATATTGGTTTTTTCTGATATTCTGGGTTGTTTAGCTGGAATACTTCCCTATCCACCAAAAAAAAATCAGAAATTTTCCATGAGAAAGAAAAAAAACAGGAATTCTTTCACCACCCAAGCCTACAAAAACGCGATGATCTCAAACTCAGACTTGGCATCCTCTCACTATGCTGGCACTGTACACACTTAGATGATCTCTGCTTCTTTCTGATATTACTGCAATATCTTTATCTTCAACAGTCCTTCTTTTAAGCACTACTTGAGCTGAAGTGTAAATCCATACTTGAACCCTCCAGCAGCCCACTCAGTGAGAGAAGGTCACTTTGTGCGGGTCACACATTGAAAGACTGCAGCTGTCTTCTCTTCTTTTGCATGTGGAGCTTTTTTAAAGATTTTTTTTTTGCCAAAACTCTCATGGGTGGAAGGAAGTTCCCCAAAGTCAGATTACCTGGAAAATCCACTGTATTTCAAGAGTGTAGCAATCCAGTTCAGCAAACAATCTGATAAAATGAGAAAGAATAAACTTTTCCTTATAACTTCATTGGTTTGACCTAGAGGCCAATCTTTGCCTATAAGCAAAGCTGAAAATTACAGGAAAGAGGCCTGAGTATCGTAAGAGGGGGGCCAGGCATTAATGTTTATCCAGCAGCAAAATAAGCCATCAGGGTGGGGTGGGCTGCAGCTTGAATAGCAATTGCCTAAAACTAAGAAATTGTAGAGAGGACCTCAAATAACAGTGCATGAAGGCTGCAGTTGTTCTAAAACGAAGCCTAACCTTGGCCATGTCCATCACCATTTACCCAGCCCCAAGCCTTGCAAGCTTCTCCTCCGCTATTACTTCTCAACAACACTGGGACTTTGAGATTCACTGCTTATGCTCACAAGCTGAAGAGCCAGATGTACAAAATTCTCCCTTGTAAGGGGAGAGGAGAGAAACCCACAGCAAGTAGAAGTAAGGCTTTTATCACTGCTTTCCCTCCCGATATGTGTGGCCTGCCTTCATCGAGAGTAGTTGAATAACTGGATGGGTTGAGTCTTCACATCAAAAAGCTGCAAGCAGATCTTGCCTGTTCATTTAATTGCATGCCCCAGCTATCCCTACACAAAAGGAAAAAATTATTGTTTCGCTGCTTATCACTGTCCTTGTTACTAAGCATAGGGACATCAGGGGAAAACTCCACTTCCTAAGTTTCTCCCCAGGCTAATTCCTTTATGTCTGGGAGACTTACCTGGATCAGCAGAACTAGGAGTCCTATGGTGGATGCTACTTCTGCCCATGGCCTCTTGACAAAGGAAACAAATATAAAACATAGAATCAGGCAAACTTAAAATGTGCATTGTCTCTTAATCCAAACTTAATAACTCTTTGGCCATAAAACAACTTGGCTGTGGCAGCTCACAGGACTCCCAAGACATCTTGTTTCTGAAGAGAAATCTATTGCATTATACATTGCAGCAAACTCTCCTGTAACACCTGCCATGGGATCAGCATGCGTGAATTCAGCCAACCACAGGCCCAAATATTCGACCAAAAATTTACATCTGTATCGAGCAGTTACAGACTTTCTCTTGTCACTATTCCCTAGACAGTAAATGTCACAACTAGTAAGGTAGAGTTACATTGAGTTAGGTATTCTAAGTAATATAGAGATTGTATAAAGCATACAAGGTGACGTGTGTAGGTTATATGCAAATGCTGTGCCCTTTTAGGCAATGAGTTGAACACCAAGGTTGCTGATATGTGTGAGGGGCCTGGAACCAAACACCCACAGATGCCTGGGGATGACTCTCTTCTTTCCAAGCATGAAATGATTCTCAGTTTCTCCACCACTCCATTGCCTCATCTTTTCTGCTTGGGTTTGAGCCTCTTTGATTTCCGTACATGAAGCTGTATAGGCCCCTCTGCTAGTCTCATCGTGAATCTGGCCTCTGCGGTAAATTAGGCATTTTCCTCCACATTCTCTTATGCTTCTAAAAATCACACACAATTTCAGAATAGATGAAAATACTGACATCTTAAAAGCGGGTGATACCATTTTCATGTTGCTATACCCTCAACATATATATTGTTTCAGAAAATTTATATTTCCATTTTTTTCTATTTTTGGTTTTTTAGTAATTGTCTACTATCTCAGCCAAGTGAATGAGGAATATGTAATCAATAAGTACAAGGAAACTAATTACCATTTGGGTCACTGCCACTTAAAATGATGTCTTTTTATATAGTGGAACTCAAAAGGCTTAAATAAAATAAGTGTACTGGGAAGCAGACTTCTTACAGAGGAAAGGACTGAAAGATGATTATACTGATTTTAGGTTAGCAACCTAGGAGAATGCCAACTCATATTTGTAAGGTGCTTTGTACCTAGCTACAAGTATATGTCACTGGTACTGCAGACCTATAGGAAAAGAGGGGAAAAATGAAAATACTTCCTAGAAAATGATGTTTCACATAAAATGGTTTATAAGATTGAAACAACAGGCACTCATAAAAGTACAAGGCACAGAACAATAAACTGTTTTGCTGAAAGTCTTCCTGACAGGGTATGCAATTATTATTATTATTATTATTATTATTATTATTAGTTGTAGTAGTAGTACCCGGGATCGAACTCAGGACCTTGCGTTTGAGAGGCAGGCGGCAGAACCACTGAGCTAAATCCCCAGCAGAGTATGCAATTATTACAAAAGAGAAACTATTTTAGTAGAGTATTTTATATGTTAAAAAGTCAGCATTAACTCTGTAAACTCAAAATTTAAGTTCACTAAAGAAACTTTTTACCTTGAATTTCAAGGTTTTTTTTAATTGGAAAATTTGAAAGTATGTATTCAGCAACCAAGAGATGTTATTCTGCATAGTAAAGGATAAATAAAAAGGACTGAATCAGATAGAAACTGAAATTATTTAGGACATAGAAGTGTATTGGTAGAAAAACTCTTCTACAAATCCTTAAGTGATCTGAATACCTTATCCTTAAGGATAAGCTGATTTACACAGGCCCTTCATATCTAAGGACCCACAGGAGTAACTTACTTTGAGAAAACTCAATTTATCTACAACTAAATTTAGAAAATAAACAAATTGGGTAGCAGCTTTTACTCTCTATTAGAAATATATCTGGTCCATATTAAACATTGCTGCTGATGTACGCCATATATACACACATGTGCATTTATGCTTGTCTAGGCAGACTTACCCACTTTACTTTTATTACTTCTGTTCCTGCCCTATTACAGTTGCCCTATTGCCACTGCTTTATGGAGTATATCATAGATAGACATAAAACATACATTGAATATTCGGAATATAGAATATAATTCTAGGTCATTTAAATAATTTCTTTTACATTGGATTTTTTATATATAATACCTTCCTTCCAATGAGGCTTAAACTCTGGGGATAATGATTATATCTAAAATCT